AGTGGAAACTTTGGTGCCTGCACCGTCAATCGACAAGCCAGTCGCGTGCAGTGGCCGTCCAACGACGGCACCATGTATTATCTGCTGATTCACGGATTTGGAGCGCGAGAGGGTGATTTCCAGCTCAATGTTATCAACTACAATCCCATTAATCAAGACCCTGAAAAGGCGTACGACATTAGTCCAGGAGATATGGTTGTTGGAACAACCTTCCAGGCAATACACCCCTGGGATGGTGATTCCACCAATTGGTAGGTTCTCTGTGATTGTTACACCAAATGGTTCTTGGTTGCTTTGTTGTGGATGTGCTTGACTCAAGCTTTTCTCTTCTGTCTTTCTTTTCAGTGGAGGTCGACATGGCTTGATTGGTGAATCTCCCTCAGTCTGGTACAGAGTGCAAGGTACCGGAGGCACGTTGCGTGCGTCGACGTGCAATCCTCAAACAGAAGACGACTTCAATTCAGTCCTACACATCTTTGAAGGTTCGACGGATATTAATCGGTGCTTTGCCGGAAACGATGACCTTGCGTCTCCCGATAGATGCGCTCAGATTGACTGGCCATCCTCAGCGGGCCAAACCTACTACATCCTGGTACATGGGCGTCTGGGTGATCAGGGTCTCTTTGAATTGTCTGTGGATTCAGTGTAGCCAGGCCGCATAGGGTGACTGAGAAAACTAGAATGCAATACAATACTACACGACAAAAAGGACACGGTGATGGTCTTTTCTTGCTGCAGAGCATTCTTGCGCAGAACCTTGGTGACAGGCCCTTCAATATCCACGTCATGGTCGGTACAGATGCTCACGGGAGGCATTGGTAGAGCTTTATGTTTTTGTTTGTTTCGGAAAGGTTCATTAAGCGCATAGGCTACTGCATGATGATTTTGTAGTTCAAATCTCAAATGGTGCCTGTAGTACGATTGTACCCTCTATTCTATCTTGTGCCATCTCTAGCTACTCTACTAGCTAGGCGTGACATTTCTTTTTATGGGCGCTAAAACCAATAGCTATAATTCCGAAGAGTTCACAACAACCAGAATAGAGATTCAAGCATCAGCTCGCAGCACCCAAACTTGTCTTGGGAGTCCACTAAGAACCAGCTGATTGCACATTCCCAGCAACACCAACACTACTCTCAGAACCAATTATCAGTTTGTAGCCACAAGTCTGAACTTTCTTTCACATGCATCGCCCCTTTATTTGCTGTACAGTACTATAATAGTCTACTCAGCAGCGAGAACATACATGCCACATTCAATCTACACATTCACGCCACCAATAAAAAGAAATCCAAGGGTGGCTACCGGTACATTGTACAGCGTGCCTTCCAAATCACCCCATCTCTCTTTCGACATAATCCCACTTTTTTCGCTGCGTATTGTGCAAGCACATACATTGGAACCTCCTCAGCAAATCCAAGTTCCACTGCTTGTTCCCAATGTGGAATTAGTCGATGCTTCAGGCTAAGGTCAACAATCCTGGATTTTAGTAACATGCTGGAGTGCCTTGTCTTCCATAGCATTCTGAATGGAACTGTAGTGTATTGTTGCCGTGGATGCAGCTCAGACACAGGAGAGTTGGCAGAATCCCTGTCACTTCTAACAAATCTCTTTTTTTAAAGAAGCTTGGATGCTCAAACTTGAACGCAGGAATATTTTCCAAAAAATATTGAAGATCTCCTTCTGTTGTCTGTCTCCAGTTCTTGTAGCCATTCCATTTTGTGATTGAGAACATCTTCAAAAGTTTGAAGAGATTTGGATTTGTCGTGTTGAGCCCCAATGTCTCCTGAAACCAATCTACTTTGCACCTCAGTGTGGATACTTTGTGACCCAATATAAGTGAATGTCTTCTGGCTATTGCTTCCAGTGTGCTGTTGCAGCAAGTCTATGGTTTCCAGAACATTTTCACTTGTGAACCAGAGAAGTGTTTGCCACCGCTTCAGGGTAGTTTCAATTTCCCTGTCTGTCATATGAAGCTGCTGTTGAATGGCTATCCGCTGAGAGTCTTCTGATAATCGTTCATCACTTCGTCTTGGTCTTCCGTGCAAACAAGTGGGCTCGGCATTATTTATTTGATGGATCCAATGATTTTGCAGGACTTGCAACTCTTGCTTGTCGCTGGGGTCAGCTTCCCACGGAAGGCATGGACTTGGCAGAACAAGAGAATCAAGACAGCTTCAACTCTTCATCATTACGATGCTTGGGGGGGCTCTACTAGCTATCTAGCCAGACGTCGTTGTTGCATTTGGGTGGGCCTCATTGACCTCATTCAGTCTGAATGTCCTTGCCCAATTGATGCTGACACGATCCATGTCGTCGACCTCGTCTTTCGTCCGAGGACCTGGCAGGACCGGTACACGAAAGGGTACCGGTACCTTTTCATTAAGAAACTTTACCGCTGATGAGAACTCTGCTCACAGGAGCACGAAGCTTGATCAATCGAAGAAGGCGTTCAATTCAGATTTCCCCTCGTGAGACCTTCGAAGCAAAGAAGACGATGATGCTTGATCAGAGGCAGATCCTTCCAATACTCTGTTGCCTGATTCTCTTCCTTTCCCCTGCCAGTGGCAACATTCGGTTTGATCCAGATGCTGACGGGAATACTCTAGTTTGCACGTCGGCTGCTCACTCTAATGTCGACGACTACTTTCGTCCTTCCCAAGGGCAATGCGACGATCCATACCAAAACTCGACCCGAATGGATGATCCCTTGTTGACGATTGATACTATATCGCCAATACTACTGCAAAACCTCGCCGTGGCATATGCTCCCGTCATCTTTTTCCACCCGCTCGAACGATACACAATGTCTAGTGTGGACGCGACGTTTTCACTTCCCGGTCGAGGCAAGATCTACCAGACCACTGGCGGAGGAGAAAAATTGATTCAAGACCGTCTCAACATGACAACACTGCTGAGAACCAGTAGAGATCCGTTGTGGGCGCCCAAATCTTCCAGTTTCTACTTTACATTGGAGGAATATATCAAAGAGCAGTACTACGCCAAACCCACAGAACAGTTTGGTGATGGCTTTGATGAAACAACGGGAAAGAGCAAGGCCAAAATTTACTACAATGTCTTCGATTCTGGCAATGGAACTTGGACCTTCAATTACTGGCTATACTATGAGTTCAATGGAGAAGCCAACATGGGAATGGTCACCACTTCCGAAGACGTTGGCACTAGGTTTTGGGGGTTCCTAATGAAACCATACGGTGTGCATGAGGGTGATTTTGAAGCTGTCTCGGTCATGGTTTGCCCACCGGCCAGTGAAACTGCTGCTTTTGAGGAACTCGTTCCAGAGCCACTGGCAGTCCAGTATCGGCAACATAATTGGGCACAACTGACAGATTGCACCCAAGGAGAATGCAAATTCTACAAGGACACCTACCATCCTGTGGGATTCAGTGCACTCAACAGCCATGCCACGTATCCAGAGTCGGCCAACGAAATCGTCTATATCAATGTGGAAATTGGATTCTTTTACAACTTACAGTCTTACGTGGCTGTCGATCGGACCATGTACAAGAAAGAAGACGGAACGTACAACTACTTTATGCCAACTGTTGACAATGTAGAACGACTACAAAAGCCAGAAGACCTCACATTGGAAGCAACACAGTTGAAGTCGCATTTCTGGCAAGCCTTTGGAGGAAATTGGGGGAGTGCAAAGCCCATCAGCTTGGAAGCAGAGCCGCCTTTGTGCTTGGCAAAAGACCAGCTGAGTTTCGTTGCCTGTCCGACCCACGATGAAGATCCCAGTAAGCTGCCAACGTTGCATGTTGTTTTGTGGCAACACGTCCTTGCCAAAACTCACCATTCAAGTGGTTTCATCATTTCGCAGTTTTTGATTTCGTGATGCAAATGATGAATGTTCGAGAGCCCCGAGCTGAAGTGGTGAGTCTTTTACAAGACGTGACTTCCAAGGTTGTTGAAGCGGCGGCAGTAGCCAGTGCTGGACCTAAGGGCCCTGTCACAAAGTATTTCTATGAGGAGTGGACCAAACCAATCAATGCACCACTTTGGAACTCTCAGCAGAATGCGGATCCAACCACGGCGGGTACAGAGTACTGCGTTGGTGCATTCGATGTTCCCAATATGACACATATTGGGATCGAAGCCAAGACTGTGAATGTAGTCGATCACATCTATGCAATGGTCTGCACAGTCATCATATTGACCATCCTTACCTTCCTTATACCAATCTTGATTCTCATCCGACAAGGGAGGTCGCACTACAAACCAATTCGCATGTCCCAAGAAGGTGTTCCTAGACCCCTGACGACCTTTGACCACATGGTGTACATGATGGGAGCTCTGGTTTACACATTGTTTTTCGTCATTTTGGTCTCTGCTGGAGTGATTTTCCTTCATGGAAGTAACCAAATGATCGATATGCTGGAACAATTCGTCCATGGCATCCGGTGGCAGTCACTACGAGAGTTTGTTTTCATGCTTGGAGTGGCCATCCTTGCTGCCAACACACTCCTTCTGGTCTTCATGTGGCTGCAAGCGTTCGAAATGAAGAGCTTGATTCGACTGAGGTATCTTCAGCTGTCAGGATCTCAAACGTCCGTCGATGGTCGACGACAAGTGTCTTGGGACAAGAAGTTTGTTCCCTGGAACCCTCTCACGGTTGATATAGTTTTCAAATTGTGTTTCGCCCTCCTGTTCCTTTCCATGATGTTTGCAATGATCTGTGTTCTACTTGGTAAGTGTCCTTGTGGGTTAGCTGCTCTAACATGCCGCATTGCTCATGCTCATCATCTTGATCGCCAATTCATGACATTCAGGTGTTGCGGTTGTTGGCTTCGCAGCGGCATTTGTACAAGCTTGCAACGCGACTTTGGGATCACTGAACTACTTATGCATAGACCTTAGCTTTCTCGGAATCCAACAAGTGGCCTGTGGGGGTAAGTCACCGGGTTCAGCTGTATTGTTAAAAGGTTTATGTACATTCTCTAACTCTACTTCCTTCGCACTCAGACGACTTTCGGTCCTTCTGCAACCAGTGGGCTCAAAGTGATACCAAATTGATACTCTGGGTAGGACATTGCTATGCTTTGTGGTGGTATCCATTGCTTGTTTGGCAATCTCTCACTGGTGCATTCCCCTTTCCTTTGCCGCTCTCGCCAGTCCTCTTTCCTCGTTTTCCTATCCCATTTTTATATCATTGCTTCCACCGGATATGCTGCTCAGCAACGACGATCCATCCCCGCCCTATTGGCGTTGTATCCTGAACCTGAAAAAGGCGAGCATACGGGTGGATCCAAAGCAACGATGCTGGAAGAACATCCTGGTGAAATGCGGAATGACGAGCCGCCACGGTAAAACGAGGGCAACACCGCTTTGTATTCGATCTGATCATATCCAAGACATCCCACTAGAATCTTAGAAGCCAAGTTCTGTTGGGAGCAACGATGGAAAGTGTTGAAGGCGATATGAAGTAGCTCAACATTAGAGACAAAGAAGATAAGGAAATCATCAAGCAGAGATGTCAGTAGAGGTGCCTACAAGTTGATAAGCATTGCCGGTACCGGTAGGGTGATTGTGTTTTGCGTATGTCTAATCTATCACGACAAGTGGCGTCTCAGTTGGGGTTGTGAGGGACGCCCCGACTTTCACCCCCCCCCCTGCTTGGGACAGCATCTCGGCAATCAGATGGACGTAAGGATACCTTCAAGTTGATAAGCATTGAGATGATTGTGTTTTATGCATGTCTAATCTATGACGCTGAAGTGGCGTCTGCATGTCTAATCTATGACGCTGAAGTGGCGTCTTTGTTGGGGTTGTGACACCCTGGGCCTGTCACTCCCTCCCCCTGAACTTCATCTAATTAGTGGGTATAAATCGCACCGACGAAGAGCCTACCACCGACGAGTGAATGTCAAGCATGAATTGGTTCTTGACGCCCAGACAAGCGGGTAAACTCGATCGAAGCGAATCGATTTCTTGTTGCGCCAACTCTCCCAGCTGAGAGTCACTGAACGACGGTACCTGGGAGGCGGCGCTTCCAGTCAGACAAATTTTCACAGTGGCGCAGCGGGGCTCGCATTTGTGGCCGGGGTTGGTGGTGCATGCAATGGTGGGGCAATCCACATCACTCACAGAACCGACGGTAGCAGGGAAACCAAAACTGGCCAAGACGGATGTTACCTTGGACGAGATCATGGAGGCAATCTCAGCATTTTCCTCGTCGGTACAGTCGGTACCGTCAGTGATTCCATAAGGGTACTTTGGTTTGAGGTTGAGCGTCAACTGGATGTCAGTGCAGGAAGCATGGGCGGTATGACAGAACAATAAGCATGCCACAGAAACAAGCAATAGATTCTTCATCTTCATCATGACAGCAGCCGTATTGCTGTGTTTTATGGAACTGTTAATGAAAAGCTGGATTGGACATCAATTTACTCGGAGTTTGCAACAAATAGCCTACTACCTTGAGTTTGCGGTTTTGGAGACCAGGACTGTTGAAGTAAGGCAGTGGTCGTGAACAAACCTTCCTCTTTATCATATTGTTGTTGCGTTGCTTGGTTGCAAGTTGGTTGTTGCGGTTTTGTGAAAGACCAATGCTCGATTGAGCATTCGATAAAAGAAGGCAAAACTTACCAAACACTGGACTGAGCAGACTCGACTCACTCGACTAACGCTACACATACAATTGAATCGGGTGGTTGGGTAATTCCATTCGACTTTGGAGTTCTCAAAGCAACCTTGTGATATTTTTTATGGGCACAGGCCCTGTATTGGTTTGATTTGATACGGTGTCCCCGTGTATTCCAGCCAAAGCTCTCACGATGGTCTTACTGTAGCTTTCCATGTATTCAGATACTCAGATTAACACTTTGATCCTTTCAATTAATTGAATTGTATCGTTTACCGGCAGATGTAGGTAGTTACAAAAGAACAGCTTGAAAGAGGATTACGGGAATAGTTAGCAAATTCATGGTGCAGAATTAGGAAAGAAGACGACTAGTTGTCATACCAGTATCATGGTTTTACCGTAACAGGTGCTACCTACTGTAGTCCATTCCAAATGATGCACTGGCTAGCTAGCCGAGCTCACAGCCTACCAAAAAATGATTTGTAGCTACCGTGACTAGCTAGTGCTACTACCGGTACCGTCAAAGTTGTCAAGCCAATAGTCAGACTGTATGCGTCCAACACTTCAAGATATTCCCCCAATCACCTCAATGGATTCAATTCGTTTCGCTGCATCATTCGTGCATGTGTCAATAATGTGCGGTCATCAAAACCAGAAAGATATTTCTCAAACAAAAATCAATGACATTTTTAACCCGAATATTTAACAATGGTGGTCTTAAAGAATTCTATTCAACGTCTTTTAAGTACAAAAGTCGCCCGAGACAAATATCCATGTTCCATCAGCGCATTGATTTAGTGAGTTTACAGTACCTCTTCGTAGGCAGGCAGTACCAAAAAGAAAATGTTAGGCATCCACAAAAACTGCCATACTGGGTGGACGCTGCCCCTTCTTTGTTCATGATGACCTTCCTTGAAAGCAAAGCTTACGTGGTGGTAAATGTGTTGTACAATGACCGACTGAAACTACCCAGAGTCATTTACGATCTGCCGAATCCGCCGTATGCCAGTATGCCAGTGTGCCAGTTTGTTAGTGGTACCAGTGCGTAGAATATTGGTTGGGTTCCATCGACCATCGACCATCCGCCACCCTCGCTGCCACTTGCTGTGCTACTTCCGCTTCATAGAGCTGCCCGATCCCCTCATCAGCACACTCTCGTTCATAGCTGGTAGATAGATAACTTCCTGGAAGCGAAGAGGCACACACTCATTAATCTCGACGGGAAAGAGACTACTCAACATTCACCGAGCAAAGCTCAAAGGAAGCAACATCAATAGCACACAACTCACACAATATCATGATTCGAAGGCAGCTTTGGATAGTATTCTTGTCCCTGGTGGTTCTGTTGGCGTCCCAAAATGACTCGCTGGCATTTGCACAGCAGGAACAATCCACAATTGCTAGTGGTAGCGCCCCTGGGGAAGGAGACATTGCCATTATGCAAAAGGAGATCAAGTGGGGGATGCAAGAGATGCAGCGCTACAAAATGCTGACAGGGGAGTGGCCTGTGCGAGCAGTAGAAGATCCAATAGTCGAAGTCCCTAGCAGCAGGAGAGAACTCGAAGTGGCGGCTCGCAAAAAGCCCAAACCAACCGGCACTAGAGGTGCTTCGATGGAGGAAACTCCCCATTCCACGTACTGGAAACTACTGGTTTCCGTGTTTTGAATGAGCACAGGATATGCTCACTCGGGTTTGGGGGGAAGCAAAAACAAAACAACAAGGCCGACGGGTCGAGTCTGATTCGATTCATCGTCTTTTTCTCTCGAGTCAAGGTCGCCAATGGCGGTCATGACGTCGAAACGGTCGCATTATAGGTGACACGGTCCGAGAAATCGATCAAGCCAAGGGGGAGAGCAGCTCCAGCCAATTTTGGTGAGCTCTTGTAATACTACTACTATTTCCACTATTTCTACCTCCAGAAACAGCCGACGCATCCGAAACGGCAACCGCATAACGCATAATAGATTGACTAAACAATGAAACACTACCGACAACCAATACTGATACTAGCTAGCTGCCTGAATATCCCTGCATTAGACGGCTAGATAGATAGATAGATAGATAGATACTCCTTGTCGTGAGCTCGCAGCAAGCTAGCCGGAAAAAAGGCGTCAAAGGAGTTCCCAACGACAGCCAGCGGCAACCAAAAACGAGCGTCCTAAACTAGCTAGACTACAGTACTCAACAGTTGAAGATTGAAGATGGCCGCCACCGTTGGACAAAGAAGGTTTGGTAGGGTAAACCTAATCGTGAAGCGGCACTACTACATGTACTTTTAACCTTGCATGAAGGGTCTGGTGACGCAGCTGGCACTACAAGGTAGCACAAGCTAATAGATATCCTGCAGACCAGAGGAGCAGTGGGTATCCAGCACTAGACATGGCGGGGCCTCCGGCTAACTGGACCGGTCGAACTCTGCTTGCCTCGTTGGTTATCGGATCATATATAGGTACATGTAGCAACAACCACCCAGGAAGGACAACACCCAGATGAGCGATCTCGTCAAGGCGGCTTGCAATCTTCAAGGCCCAGCCAGGGTGACCAAGCAAATATCCCAGGTAGCTACGGTACTACGATACCAGTTTAGTCTGGCCGCTCGATGGCTCTCGAACCAAAGACCAACCCCGATATGAAAACGAAGGGGGAGCGACGCAGGTTTCAATTACGATTGCAGTGTTCGCTCATTCAACTTCGCAATGGAAGCAACAGCACGACAGGACCAGCAGGAGCAACGGACATTACTATTGTAGCAGAGTTTTGGTCAAATTCGAGTCCAGCCAGTCGAGGCAGTGGTGGTCAGCCCACCTACTGTTTTGACCGCACGGCAGGATTGATCAGGAAAGCCAGCGCTCTAAAAACTCTTAGAACAGCACGCTAATAAAGACCTGACTGGTGCTTGCCCCAAGCGCACCAAGCAGCTTTGTCACCGACCTATTGCTCCAACAAGCTAGACAAACTGCCTACTGGCCCCGTACCTGGCCCCACTCCTTTTCTCAGGGATAGGTCCATCACCAAGTCCCAGTGCTGGTCTCACTCCCGAAACACCACCACAACCTGCCCCCGGGCCGACTCCAAGCCCATGACAATACTAGTACCCTGGTCTTTGGTCGGGTGTAGCACTTCATGCTCTACCAGTTTGAGTTAGCAAAGGATTTGGGTGAGACACGTAGGACATGTACCAGTGCTGGAGCTGCCGGTACTGGTGCGTCCCAAGGTTCGAAACTCTATCTCCACCACCCAAAGTACAATGACACAATGACTGTCACTCAATGACTGTCTCATAGACCGATCGAGACCCGGGGCCATACATGTAAAGTTAGAGGTAGGAACCGCAATGTGTTTTAGAGTACCGTTTTAACGTTTTAGTGTAGCGTTCTAAACGCTACACTAGTTGCAAGCATTTGCGTTTATTTGCGTGTTTGTGTATGTATACGCATACATTAACAGCGTTTTTGGTGTTTTGTTCAGCGTTTTTCTCTGTTTTCAGTGTTTACTCTATGCAGATTCCACTTCCAATCTAACCAACTTCTTACACATAAGGATGAACAATCTGGATGGTGGTACTGGTGCTTACTTTGGTAGCACTCTATTTGTAGTGCACCAATACTGCAAAAACGCTAACAAAAAATGCTAACAAAATGCAAATAAATCGTTAACAAAGACGATGAGATCATAGTCATAAAAAACGCTTAATAACAAACGTTAAGGGGACCTGTTAGCGTTTAAACGCTACGTTCGACCGTACGGTACTAGTAGCGTTTGTAGTTCCATCCTCTACCTAAAGCCACACTTCACTTGTACCGGACTCTACTGTACTCATCAGTAATACTCTAGTAAGTGGATCACTACGAAATAAATCATCGACCAAAGCAATCATGGTTGATCCAGCTTTGATCCAAGTGCCCTCCAGCATTAACATCCGATGTCCGATGCGGTCGGGGCTGCCTCCAAGTTCCCCCTTCCTTGAGATATCCCCAACCACCGGAACTTCAGTCTTCATTTGATAGAAGCAAACAAAGATGGCTGAACGTGGTAGGAAATCGTTGAAAGAGGTTAAAAAAGGTATAAGACATTAAATAAATTGGTAGAATTGGTGTAACAAGGTACAAAAAGTGGAAGGTGGTTAAAATTGGTTGTGTGGAGAGATGAGCACTTTGAAGTTTTGGGAAGATGGGAAAATACGAACGTTTGGAGGGCTTTTGGCTTTTGGTGGCTTGCTTATTTGCGGTACCCACTCGAGACTAACCAAATGTCGAAATTTTTTTAAGCTAGTACTATAAAGGTTGAGCCCCCGCAGGGGGCTCTGAACCATAAAGATTGGGCCCCTTGGGGCCCAACCACCAAGTTGGTAAACCAGTGGGCTGTAGCCATGGAATGTGTGGGTTGACACCTTCTCCACACTATCAGGGGATTCCTTTCCACCACTGCATTGATTATTGTCACACTTGTAGATAAAGCAGTAGATTGGGATGCGACCCCTGAAGCAAGCAACTGTTCTGTGTTGGCCTTGCTTCAGGCCACTTCTCACAACCAAAGACACATGCTCATTGGTGCCACAATGGGGGCATGGACTCCACTGGTCTCTTTGCCTGTCCTTGGATCGATGCACTTGTACCTTGAATGCTTTTCCAGGATGCTGCGGTCGAATCTCTCAGGCATGAAGAAGAAAATTCGAGTGAAAGCTGGGATCTCGAATTCCATGGCTGCTAGAGACTGTTCCTTTGCCTTCCATAGCTTGTCGATGACCTTCCCGGGTTTGAAGAAACTTGTATTTTGGGACTGGCCTGCAGCTTCGTCCTTCCTTGCAAGGGCTCTCATAACAGGGATGTGAGTCCGTGGTCTGCTCCCTGCGGGAAATGGTTCTGCAGATGCCGATCCAATTTCCCCGCCACTAGAGGAGTCCCAGCTTTCACAGAGGCACGTCCTGTCTTGCCAACAGCCGCCAAGAACACCATGCCGTTGTCGTCCACCTTGGGGAACCGTCCACTGGAGTACAGGTTCCGGATGTAGTGGTCGATACCAGCCGGCGCCTCTTTCGTACTCGCACTCATCGTCGTCGGGGGGTTGTGATGAAAGCGGCTATCCTCGGCTGCGGTGAGTACCTCTGTGAAGTACCTCTTTGGCTACTGAATGCAGTAAGTACACCTCTGCGAAGTACCTCTGCGGCTACTGAATACGGACGGGATGACCTCGGTTTTATTGTCTTGCTTCACTATCCTCTGGATGCATGCTCCGTCGGTCTTTCGAAAACAACACGAAAACAAACACCACGAGAGACTGATCGAGCTGACACAGAGATGAATCGTGTGCACGACTGACGTGCATGCACGACTGACGTCATCGAAAGATCGGACGATTTTGACGATTCTGATTGGCTAATCTCCTCTACAGCGGCTCTACAGCGGTAGTGTACGGTTGGGCCGATGGCGGTACAGCGGTCCCCCCGTACTTTCTGTACCAAGCCTTTTATGTTCTGTTATGCGAACTACGGGGAAGGCATCCGGTTGGCGATAGTTAGTCGCGTTTACATAGCAAAAGTCGTTGTAAAGTCGCTAAAACACATTAAAGTCGCTATTAAAGTCGCGATAAAGTCGCGGTAAAGTCGTGCGCTACTTTAAAAGTCGCGGCAAAGTCGTGGTGAAATGTAGTGATTTTGTTAGTAAAGTCGCGGTAAAGTCGCGGAAGTCGCGAAAGTCGCGATAATAGTCGCGGTAAAGTCGTGGTAAAGTCGTTCGCGACTTTTAAAGTCGCGAAAGAGCGCGACTTTTGGCGATTTTCGCGACTTTCAAGAAAACACGACTTTATGACGTCACCGGGTGCCTTCCGGGTATCGTGGTCCAAAGTTGAATCCCGGTAACATGGTCATAAACCAGCGAAACACGGAAGGTTTTCTAGACTGTACGGTACTATTCGGAGTACTACACTGTACTTTGTCGCTATCTCGAACTTGCCATGAAAAAAACAGTCATTGTAAATGGAGCCGAAACAGGGGACCCTACTTACTGAGTTATTCCGGCCCTTGGGCAATAAGATAGAGCAATTTTTCAATTATCTTTGTTTAAAGGTCTTCAATTTCGAGGTGGTCAATGGTCAATTGAAGGAAAGCTGCTAGGTGACTGTAAAAAACAAAAATCAGGGAGACGGGGTTACAATTCACTCTTCGGGGAAGTTCGGGGGAAGCACAATTCTTCCATCCGAAATCTTATTACTGTCACCGTCGTTTGGTTCATATGGGCAAATCTGCCTCGTGTTAATAAGCGCAGTAGAGCCTGCAGGCCTTACTCTAGCTTTTGTATACTGTAGCTAAATACATTTTAGCCGGTAACAGCTATGCCTGATCCCTAATGAAGGTTGCAAACTCTGTTCGTGCACATGGACTGACCTCAATAATCAACTCACTCCATTCGAAAAGCATGCATGTACTGTACGACGGTAGCACAACAATGGCGCTTTGCCTCCTCCGGCTTGTTAGGCCACTGGGCACCGTACTCGCAGCCTCTCCATTACCCCATGTACATCTTCACATTGCCCATTGCCTCAACATGCATCGGCAGTTTGGGAGAAGACGTCGCCTGTGTCGAGATGTCGAGATGACCGACTGAGTAACAACCATGTATGACCATGCAAGAACCAGTGGAAGTCGAAACAATCGACAACCAAAGCACCGTAGTGACTGCGGACTCTAGCGACTAGACATGTTAAGTTGGCCTCGAGGCTGGAATCTCATTGATTGTTAATCGAAGACTGCTTCCGCGGCGACTTCTGCACAACGCCTCTATACAATTGCTACCACATGTGCAACAAGCTTTGTACGGTAGCCAGCATAGCAGAGTTGATTTCCTCGATCCGTTTGTCATTCTCCGTCCAAGGCATTGCTGCTGTCAATAAGCGCTAACAAAATGTTGAAGGTTTTGTATCCAATCACGGTACCAATTCTGCTGCTAAAAGTCCACACTGACAGGGCAAATGGCAAGCTCAGCTCAACCCAATGCAAGGGTGTGTCCGTGACTATACTGGGAGGCAAGTGCCAGCGTGGGTTAGGCTGTGGTTTGGATCTGGTGATGATATCACCAACTTGGTCTGTTGGCATGGGGTGGTGGCTCTCTTGTTGCTGCTGTGCTCTAGCTAGCTTCCGTCTAGAGTACAATTGAAAACTCCAAGCTGGTTCCTGCTGAAAACCTGGAACGAGAGTCCACATTTTGACTATAGAAAGTAACAGTACTAGCCTTTTTTACTCGATTTGGCGCTACACGAGGCAGACTGACAAAACGACGGTGTGTGTCATTCAAGTTTGAGGACTGATGTCCGGCTGCAGCTCTATCATACCGGTACTCTCAGTACCGGCAAGGTACTCACACCGGTAACAATATTTTGACTAGTCTACTGAGCAGTTTTTTTCTTGATCTAGCCACTAGTTTAGTTTTTGGTTCCCCAGGAATAATCTCTGCATGCAACCAAAAGGATCCGATTCGATCGTACGGTAGGTACGGATACTGGTAATACTACCGGTATGTTGACCTGACGCGGAAGAGTTGTCGAGGCCACGAGCTTGCTCACCCTCAGAATTTGCAGGTATTGGCATCCCCATGCCTCGCACCTCTTGCAGTGCTTCCACACCCAACAGGTCAGAGAGACGGCACCACCAAATCTAAATTTAGAACTTAATTCCTCCGGGGACTTTGTAATTCATAAGTTAGCCATCCAGTGAGACGGCACGACGGCACCACCCTTCTTTGGTGAAGACGGAGAGGCCCGACGTTGTTATTACGGCGAGGGTGATTTACCTGATCTTCCTAAATTATGTAAAACGAAGAAGCTTTTTCCGCCCAGATTGGACAAAGGTATAACGAGGAGAGTGTTTCAGTGCTGTTTCAGTACTGAGTACGGCAGCTGAGGTGTGCTGGCGATTGGAATGCCAAATTACCTCCAGCCTCCAGCGGTAGGAACGATGACCTTCCAGCAGCCAGCAGCAAAGGGTAAAAAATCAACTCGATTCTTGTTGGTGCAGTCAAACGCAACATCAGCAATTGCTGGGATTGTTGCAGTATACATGTTCTCATGACCGCATGCCTCTGGCGAAATTGGAGATTCAAATCACAAAACAGCAACAGGAAACCGCAACGTCTGGCTATCTACCAGTAGCTAGCTAGCTGTATTGATTTTGCAGGGCAATTTGAGTTTCATTACTTACTTGTGGTTTTCCAAGGGTCACAACTATCTAACTGGCCCCCAATAGAAGCCCTTCCACACAAACAGAATAGAAGACCATGATGAACGGGGGCAGCACGGGTCGGGTTAGCCACCCCGGCAGTCGGAGCCGCAGTAAAGGCACTGGAGGTTCCTTTGAGAGAGTCCCGGGAGACGAAGAAGAGTCCATGTCCGGCGAAGAAGAAGACGAGGGCTCCCAATCCGTCTACAGCGACGACGAAGAAGAGGACGATGAGTCCTCTTACGAATCCGACTTGAATACGAGCAAGGAATCGACGCATCAGACATTCAACATTGCCAAGAAAGAAACCAACCGCGTTCGAGTATGGCGTACGGTTCTCTCGGCCATGTTGGTCATCACAGCCGGCGTTGTGATTGTGACAACCTATGTGTTCCTCGCGGACAATGAAGACAATGAATTCCAATCGACTGTGAGTAATCGAATCGCACCAGACTAGCGAGCGCGCTCGTCAGTCATCGTCAACCTTGGTCTCTTGTCGCTGACCTCTTGTCTCCTTTTTTGTTTCTCGTTGCCTTGCCTTGCCTTGCCTTGCCTTGCGCTATGTTGTCAGTTCGATCAAGCGGCGTTGACGATCAGCGATTCGATGCGCTTCAATTATAACAAAATGCTAGATGCCTTGACCAGTCGATCCGAAGCTGTGACTTCCTTGACACTGACTGCGGGCTTACGTTGGCCTTTTGTCACGATTCCTCATTTCGAAATTAGAGGAGAGCGGGCTCGAGAAGAGACCCGCTCAGAAACATACGGCTTTTCTCCCATTGTGAACGTAGAACACAAGGACGATTGGGAAACCTACAGTGTCGCCAATCAAAATTGGATTCTGCAAGGACGAGGCATTGACGTAGAAGACCCCGCCAACCAACCCTATCTTCCCACAACTCCCATCATTCCTCCTAAAATCACTTTCGTCGATCCCAATGCCACCGGTGAATCCAGGCTCCTGCCTTATCCAGACGGACCAATCTCCAATTCCACTCCCGATACTCCCTTTGCAGTCAACTGGCAAATGTCTCCCATCCCCTCCTTGACATACACCATCAATCTCAATTTGCGTTCCTCCGATCATTACCGACACCTCATTCAGGTGTTGCTCGATTCGCAAGATCCCGTACTCTCCGATTTTACAGACCTAGGCAAGGCATACTACGAAACCGTCTTGCCCGAAAAAGAGCATCAACGATTGCACGAAAGTTATGTAGGAACCAGCGAGGGACGGTACTATCCTGCCAAAGATCGACCGCACAGTGTCTTGATGGCACCCATCTTTAACAGTTTTATCAATGGCTCCCAGGCAGTGGTGGGAATGCTGTGGGTCGTCGTGCCCTGGGATTGGCAATTGGCTGGACTTTTGCCGCAGGGAACCAAAGTCGTCGATGTTGTCTTGGACAATTCCTGCGGAACGACCTATACCTACGAAGTACGAGGACCCGAAGCCATCTTTAAGGGACCCGGTGATCAACACGAAACGGAATTCACAGACATGGGCTATACGAGCTCCTTTGCCATGCAACCAATCGTCAAAGCCTATGATCCGACCATGACCGAAGGAGCCACCGTCATTCTCAATGGAGAAAATTACACCCTCTGTGAATACAAGATTCATGTGTATCCAACCAAGGAAATGAAGGCGGATTTTGATACCGGACGTCCCGAAACCTTTGCCATTATCATGGCGGCCATCTTTTTAATCACGGGCATGGTCTTTCTCATTTTTGTACGTTACGTGCAACAACGACAAGACATGGTCATGGCTACTGCGATCCGGACCAGTGCCATTGTCAGTAGTTTATTCCCCGCAAATGTGCGAGAGCGCATCATGAAGGATGCCGAAGAACAGGGACGCATGGATCTCATGGGAGGCAAGGCCCGCGGTGGAAACTGGCGATTGCGCAACGGTGGAAAGGAAAATTTAGGACCCAAATCCAAGCTGGAAGACTTTATCGGTGTCGAAGCTATTGGCGGCGGCGGCGGTGGTGGCATCGGTGGTTTTGGAGAAGAACACGATGCATTTAAGAGCAAACCCATTGCCGATCTGTTCCCGGATGGTAAGGATGCGTTCACTTGCTTTGCAAGAGGACGGCATGATTTCTCATCAGTTCTTTTGCCTTCTTCTAGCAACGGTCCTTTTTGCGGATCTGGTTGGTTTCACTGGTAAGACTGTTCTGTGGCTCCATTAAATTTGGTCTGCTGCTGTCTCAATTAGCTGACACGTTTCGGTTTTTGTAGCTTGGTCGTCGGAGCGAGAACCTACACAAGTGTTCCAATTGCTGGAAACTCTTTACCACGCGTTTGATCAAATTGCTCGGAAACGACGCGTCTTCAAGGTGGAGACGGTAAGCCTTCTAGGAAGTCTTGTCCTTTTCTCATTCCCTTGTTAGCATGGTCCTGACTAGATCCTTCTTGATGCAGATTGGCGATTGTTATGTTGCGGTAAGAATGTCTTCAGAGTTTGGAATGGATCAGTTACTTTGCTTTTGATCATTACAGAGATAATCCCTGACATTTTTTGGTTGTGTCAGGTAACGGGTCTTCCAGAACCGAGAAAGGATCACGCTATTGCGATGGCTAGATTCGCACGCGATTGTATGACAAAAATGAAGGTATTGGTGGTCAAATTGGAAGTCCCCTTGGGCCCAGGAACTGCAGATCTGTCAATGAGATTCGGATTGCATTCGGTAAGTCGCACCTTTAGCAGGGAGTGCGTCATCCGCAGATATTTCATCCTCTCATGCATGTATTCCTTTTTGTCCCCAGGGTCCGGTCACCGCCGGGGTGCTGCGCGGAGAGAAATCAAGATTTCAGTTGTTCGGAGATACAGGTGCGTAGATATTCCCTTCCATTAGACCAAGTAGTTGGCGCCATGCTCGAAGAAGGAGCTCATATTGCCTGTTGCGTTCTTAGTGAATACTGCGGCCAGAATGGAATCGAACGGAGCCAAAGAAAGGGTCCATGTGAGCCAGGAAACCGCCGATCTCATTCAGGCAGCGAACAAATCACATTGGCTAACACCACGAGAGGATAAAATTCACGCGAAAGGAAAAGGAGAGCTGCAGACGTACTGGTTGGAAATACGTCGCGACAACAACGCTTCCGGAACCTTGTCGGACAACGAAAGCGAATCGTCCGATTACTCGGACTTTACTGAAGAAGCTTCGAGCTACGAGGAAGATGTCGACGGAGAAATTGTTCTCGACGAGCGTAGCCAGCGTTTGGTCGATTGGACTGTGGATCAACTCTCGCGACTGCTGAAGCAAATCTTGGCTCGACGAAAGTTACTTGGAATCGAGGCGAACCCCGAGATTGCCCAAAGACAAGTCCTCGATTTCTCCGAAGGTGGAACCGTCATCGACGAAGTCGCCGATGTCGTCCAGCTGCTACCCTTTGATCCGCGAACATCTAATCTGGATGACATGCTGGACGATATCACGCTTTCCGCCGAGGCTCTTTCACAGCTCCGCGACTTTGTGGCTACCATTGCAACTCTTCACAACGACAACCAGTTCCACAATCTGTCTCACGCCACGCACGTTACGATGAGTGGTAAGCCAGGATTCGTGTTGTGATTGCATGTATTTGAGTGGCTCTGAATTGTGAAGACGGATGCTCACTTGCTATTTCACTTTGTTACCTGCCCGATTTTCTTTTCGTCTCCAGTGGTGAAGCTTCTCAGCCGAATTATTGCTGCAGACGATCCTCGCAAGCACTACACTGGCGATGGGTCCGACGACAGCGACATGGACCAAGAAGCCATTGATCAGCGGTTGCACGAACAGTCTTATGGCATTCGTTCAGACCCGCTTGCACAATTCGCAGTGGTGTTCTCGGCCCTGCTTCATGACGTGGACCACCCGGGAGTTACTAACGCAGAACTGATCAAAGAGGGAGCCAAGGTTGCAGAGACGTACAACAACAAGAGCATCTCGGAACAGAACTCGGTCGATCTCGCCTGGTATTTGTTCATGGACGACCGATATTGTGATCTCAGAGGAGTCATTTATCACGATGAAGACGAGCTCATGCGGTTCCGACAATTGGTTGTGAATGCTGTGATTGCAACGGATATTGCGGACAAGAACCTGAAAGTGCTGCGTGACGTGAGGTGGGAGAACGCGTTCAGCGAGGGCAGTAGCGAAAGCAATCAAGAAATCATCAACAGAAAGGCAACAGTCATGATTGATTGCTTGTTGCAGGCATCTGACATTGCGCACACAATGCAGCACTGGCATATTTACAGAAAGTGGTACGTTTTGTCCTGGCTTCGTTTCGGGTTTGACAGTCTTTTGAGCGCCTTTTTACTGACCCATTCGATCCACGTGTGCACACAGGAATGAGTTCCTTTTCCGTGAGTTATATGTTGCCTTCCTCCAAGGCCGCTGTGCCAAGAACCCGGCAGAGTTCTGGTACGACGGAGAGATTGGATTCTTTGATTTCTACATCATTCCCCTGGCAAAAAAGCTTGCAGATTGTGGAGTGTTTGGTGTTTCCAGTGATGAATACTTGAACTACGCTAGGAAGAACCGCAACGAATGGGAAACTCGTGGTAGACAGATCGTGGAGGAATACATTGAGAACGCCAAGGACCTTCACATTCCTGAGTCCGCTGAAGAGGAATCATTACTATCAGAATACGAACAGTCGCCGCGGCGTTCGATCGCGCCTGGGGAGTAGAGTTTCCGATACTGCTGGAGGGCTTCGGGAAGCATGACGGTCTGATTTTGATACACTCGTGACAATCTTGTGGGAGCTATCATAGACAATGCGGAGGGGCCAAGGCATTCGTCGTTGGACAAATTACAAGCTTTCTTTCAATTTACTTGTATAATAATAGGCAGGACTTTTCATGTTCATTCAAACCAACCTTGCAAACAGGCAGGCATTCACCAGAGACGCTCTCAAACAGCCTTCTAAATTTAAATGGATACCCTCAATGATCATTCAGGATTCGATTCAGTGCCTTCAAGTTGATGGCTATTGCGGCACTGACCCGAGGCTGACCTCCCAGAACGCAGTGTAACCCTAACCCCATAAATACGTCTGATGAAACGTGTCTGTGTCATGTTCCTCTTCCTGCTTCTAGTAGCCAGATACCACCTGGTAGGCTACTGTGCGAAGCTGTCCTGTCGTCACGTCTTTTCACGATAGACCAGCCGTGCTACCAGCCGTGCCTTTTCCTTTTGAAGGCAGGCATGTTTGTCAAGGCATCTCACAAAAGCGCAAACGCAGAGTTGGAAACCAAAACGGAAAACGGAAACAGCTTACAAACTGACGACATCATGGAAGCCCCACCACCCACCTTCGGGATCTTGATGGCTGAATCCGCCGTGGCCGAAAAGATGGCCGATGATGCTACCGAGGCCAGCACCCAGCACTCCCAGACCGACTCTGTTGCGGAGGAAGAGGCCGTCGACGCGGAAGTGTCCACAGAAGAAATGGTCTCCGAAGGGAGACCCCATGCTGCCCAAGAGGCCACTGGCGAGGCATCGTCTTCGGGGGCTCGCTTGGGTGGGTTGCTGCAGCAACTCGTTTCCGCCAGTGGCGGAGGACCAATGTACCAAACCACCATAGCCGGTCTCAGTGAGCTCGGCCTCAAATATGAAGTCCAAGAACCAGGCCGAATCATTGTGTTTACAATGAACTGCAAGGTCGGATCGAGCCGAGTCATCGTTGCGACCGAGGAAGCGGACAAGAAATTCCTCTTTTTCATCAAGACACCCGCCACCGTCCCTGAAGAGAAGCGCACCCAAGCGGCTCTCTTTTTGACTTGGGTCAATTACGGGCTATCAATCGGAAACTTTGAAATGGACCTGAACGATGGGGAAGTCCGCTTCAAGAGTTCCAACCACTTGTTGGGAGCTGAGCTCTCCACGGAAATGGTTGTGCGCACGGTGGCTCTCTGTGTCAGGATGATTGACCAGTTCTTCCCTGGACTCATGGGTGTGGTTTACGGCGACAAGGATCCCAAGGACGCCCATGATGAATGCATGAGCGGTGGGCGAATCGCCCAGGCGCAGTAGCTTGTGATCGTTTGAAATACATGTAGAATAGAAGGCTAAAAAGAACTAGAATGAAATGAAGTCACGCCCTACAGTAGTTGGCTGAGCTGACTAGACAGACATCAATGCCAACATGCCAAATGCCAACACAGAAGAGTTTGCTGAGGCAGAACGAACCATCAGAGACAATGCGACGTTTGTGGATTGAATCATTCTTTTGGCGCTGTTTTCACAAATTCTGCCACTAGATCGCACCAATGCTGGATCGCACCAATGGTGGGGGCTGGCACAGATGTGAATTCGGTCAAAACTGCAGAGGGGAGACCATGGTTTGGTTCGAAGTCCTTTGGAAGCCCCAGGCAGGGAAACACATCATACAACTAACGAGCCTTTCGCTTGGGCGGAGCCTTCTATCTCGTCGACCTCTTGCCTGGCTGGCGGGAGTCTTCTTGGCTGTGTTTGTAAAAGATTCTAAAATTCTTTTTGAGCTGGCACATAACGTGGTCTTTTTGGGATCAAGGGTCATCGAGGTATCGCCTGAAGACCCCTGTGAACTGTACAGTGATGGGAGCGAAAGAGCATACTGTAATAAGAGTATAATAAGACATCCAAAGAAGAACGGTTTCTCACTCCTGCGGCGCACTGATTACGGGGTGAGATTTAACAGGTGTCAAGCACAGTGAGGTGTCTTGCCTAATCGTAATTATTGGCGGAACCGTACTATCCAAGCCAATATTGGCCAGCAACGATCCGTTCCTTTAGGTCGTTAGCCGGCAGACGATGTAGCTGCACGGCTGATGGAGTCGAGTCTCTTTGGGCAGGTAGCCACCGGTACCTGCAGGTGATGTGCCGCTTGGCTGCGTTGCTTGGGATGCGCACCATAGTGTCCTTTGTTGCGGGCTACTAAGACGAGCATGAGGAAAGTGTTTGGCTTTTAATTGCTTTCAATTAGATCTAGTAGAGATTGTTATTAGCTATCTGGGCGGTACCAGATTGAATTCCGAGGTACGTAACCGCACCATCGGATGAAGCGGCGGAAGCTCGAATCAGAATCGAATCCACTTGCTTTTACAGCTTGGCTGCATGAGGTAGAAAATCCAAAAGGCAGCTAGGTACCATTGTTTGGGATATTCGTTGTCCCTCGATAGGTTTCTGCAAATGTTGCAGAAACCTCCAAGCTTTAGGCTTGTCTACCCCTTTGTTTGGCGGGGTTCCCGTTCCCGTTCCCACACGTAACATGATTTCCCATGTCTGCGTTGCGTCGTTGTTTTAGAACATGGAAACCAAATAATTCCAATAGTCATGGTGTGGTTCTCCGGATTCTTGTTGTTGACTACTGCCACCACGAAAGAGCGTGGAGTCTCCGTTGTCGTGGGATTGTTGTTGGGCTTTGTTGTTACTGTCGCCTGGACCGGCCAAGGAAGATCGCACCGGCCAGTCGCCACGAAGGGTCTTATAGCGTTTCATTTCTTGGGCTCCCCACGCCATTTCGGCCTGCATGACAATCACGTCTTCTTCGCTGATCGTTGCCAGGTGCCGTCGGACGGATTCGGAAGGCTCTTCATGGAACGCTTGTGTCGATTGGAAGACTACCAGGAGGAGGAACAGAATAATTTGTCGATAGTATTGCATCATGATGGAAAGAACAAAAATTAGGTGCTGGAATTGTGTAAATAATGAAAAAGGACGATTGTTTCGTTTGTTTGTTTTGTTTTGTTGTGTGAGTGTGGATACCACGTTTGTAGAGGTTCTTGGTTGCTTTCCAGAGAGCGTCTGGGAATTGTGATGGAGTAACAGCACGAGAATACAAGCGTACTGGCTGATGCTGACTGCTTGTGATGGTTGCTCTATCTGAGCCATTTTGAAGGTCGTAGAGAGCTCTTGCGAGAGATCACCTTGAATCCGAAGCACGAGTCGAGAGAGTCATGCAAACGAGGGGGCAGTCGGTCAAGACACTAACCTCAAGCTCCAATTAATGACCTGATCCGAATCTTAATATGGTCATAAGTTGGTGCATTTCTTTTCTTAATCAATGGTCAGAAAGGTCTTCATTTTGCGTCATCTGAAGTCACATGAAACGGTACTTCTAAATCCAAATGGTGTCTCTCCAAGAACGGCACGGCACAGAAATGACCCACCTCGTCGAAAAGCTCGACTACGAATAGAAAGAGCATTCTAAAGATCATTGTATGGGACTTGCCGGCTTGTGGGATTCTGATGAGCATCCACGGCTGGCTCTTCTCCAACGAAACCGTTCCTCCGTCATCTTCCACCACAAGTGCAAGCAAAAGGCTGATGGGAAGTTACACTCCTTTGTTTAAAAAATGCTGTGCAGAATAGGTCTTGAGTGATTGAGAAAGACCTTTTCAACGCTTTGGAATCGCTTACTTTAGCAGCCACGTTGGATGATGCAGTACTGCAGAAAGTACCAGTACGAGGAAGTTTAGGTATTGCAGTGCAAAGATCTTTCAGCGCTTAAAAGGTTGCAACAATTTGGACATCGCTCAACGGTGGGAAATGCACTATCGCCATGGTGGGGAAGAAAATGATGTGGCAATGAACACTTGGTGCTGTGGGTTTGCCGTGCTACTAGTGCCAATTCGCCGCAAGTGGTGACCAATCGTTCTAGAAAAGAACCACCACAAGTTTGTTTCTAAGGAACCGTTGTAGTTCTCGTTACTGTATGTCCAATACCTCTCAGCTATTCCCTTGCCTTCCCCAAGTCCTCAGGTTTGATACAAAACAAGCCAATGCTGTCTATGTGGCTTGCGTTGCTGGCTTAGGAGTGCAAATGCAAGATACTTTTTAAAAATAATGTTGTGTCTGTGTTGTGTGTAGCAGATTGGGATCTTTGGACAGTGGTTGTATGTTTGCAGCACATCCAGCCAGCCTGCATCGTGCTGGAAGCAATAGTGACAACCTGCAGCTCAACCTTTCAAATCCTGCTGGTGTTCTGCAAAAGAAAGCAAGACCTGGCTGGGCCCTGGGCCACATGACATGTCAAACGAACCAATTTCTGCCAATTTCTCCACATCATAGAAAGAATGCGGTGCGGTGCGGAAGGGAAGAGGAAAATCTTTGAAGAAGACCCACGGTAGCTTTATCGAGCAAGTGTATTTTATTTGTACTTTGCTACCATGCTGCTACTAGCTAGTGAAAAGCAAGCAAAAGCTGGCAGCGAGAGTTGATGCTGTCACCGCAGATCTCACCGGAGGATGCACCTCTACGGCAGATCCAGAAGTGAAGTGAACTGGGAGGACACCGGTTGATTTTGACCATGTCTTGTAAATGTCGCAGAATGATATTGCGATATTCATCCTTCAACCCCACATGTATGTAGTATGTAGTCTCTCTTTGTATGTCCTGCGAGCGATTTGGATGTTGGGTTGGATGTTGGATGCTTATAGGTGGCTGGAGGGTGGAGGGTGGAGGGAGGGTGGAGATCCGGCGGAGTTGGAATGATTCGATTCAATTCCATTCAATATGACTAGCTAGAGCCTACCAGGTATTTTAGTACATGATGTACTGAAGACATGTCTAGTACCGTAGTATGTTGACCTCTGCTGCTCGCTCCTCTGCTGGAATTCCTTTTTTCTTCAGTCCGCTTGTGCGCTGCTTTTGACTTTTGACACATACATACATTATACAGTGTGAACATACCTGTACTCAGTAGAACAAAAGAGCATTAAGCTCCATGGTTTTAGTATGGTATTAATAGTGAGGTACTACAATGAGATGGGGCAGAGGAACACAGGTTGCCACACGCATCAGGTTTCAGTGCCCCTGACATTAAATCCTGCAACAAGTCAGGGCTTTCAGTGCATTCAGCTTTCAGTACTCAGAGTAGTCAGTAGCCACGGACAAAGAAACAGCAGAACTATCAGACCATTCTGATGATCCAAAAGCTCCATTCCGTGCTGGGATCACGCCTCGGAAAGAGTTAAAAGTGTAAGAATGGCAAGATTTTACTCATTGTCTTTCTACTTTCTACCGGTATGAGCTTCAAGATCAAGTTCGGCAATAATTCGTTCAGTTCGACAATACAACGATCTTCCTGCATCGTACCCTCGCTGAGGAATTAACAGTACGGTCTGGTATCCAGCTGTACCTCTAGCTGTACTGTTGTGCGCAAGCTGGCCAGATGACGATTCGATTCGAAGCAGCAGTCGTCGCTGTGGCAACCACAATCACCGGTACCGTATGGTACCGGTGCCGCTAGGAAGGAGTACCCGTACTAGCTAGTACTGTATGTGCTCTGTGGCATGCAGAGTGCAAGAGTTCACGCAGCATGCACAGTTGCGAACTCAGTCGCGGTGGCTTGGAAACTTCGGAACTCTTCCCATAGTCTACCACAAAATAAAAATCCTCCAAGTTTCTTCGAGTCACTTTTCAATCTTCCAGTCTCAAGCCTCGTTACTTCCTTCCTATCTACTACTAAACTGGAACAACCTTCCCAAGATGCCTCTGCAGGAACAAGCCAAGCTGACGGAGAAAACTCTACAAGGGATGGAAGATGTTGAGAGGACAAACACTGATGCGTTTGATGATGATGGAATGACCGATGGGGGATACACCGCCTCATCCGAGTCAGCCAGCGAAAAGATGGAGCTGGCCAAGCGAGAGACCAAAGCTGTCTTTCGCCTTCGTCTTTTGGTCTTTCTCGTCTTGTTTCTTGCGGCCGTGACTGTCTGTGTGATCATCTACCTTATCACTTCCCGTGGCGAAGAAGACGAGTTCAAGACGCAGTACGAAAGTGCCGTCCAAAAACTCACAGTGGTAAGTGGCAGCAGCTCTTGTCAATGACCCTTGATACCCTTCTCTTTATCCTGGCTCACACTCTCCTGATCTTGTTCTTGGCGAGACAGAACTTCCTGGACATTGCCGCCAACAAGCTTGGCGCTGTTTCCAGCTTGGGGGTAGCCAGTGTCGCTAATCAAGCTCAGCAATGGCCCCTTGTGACTTTCGCTAACTTCCATCAACGAGCAGCCACAGCCAGAAAGCAATCTGGGTCCATCTTTATCCTTCTTCACCCGCTTGTCACCGATGCTCAGAGACCTGATTGGGAAGCCTACTCGGCCGGCAACGCCTCTCAATGGATGTAAGTACTCAGGTTTGGTACATATCTACTACTTGATGACACCTGACCTCACTTGACCTACCTTGCCAACCTTGCCTTACTCTATCCTCTTGTGTCATGTGTGCACTAGCTATGATGGTGTCCAGTACCAGGAAAACATGGAGATGTTTGCATTCGCCGAAGCGAGTATCCGAGATAGACTGGGCGGGTTGATAGACAGTGGGTTCGGACTGCTTCCAATCTATACGTACGGGGGACCACACGGTTTCATGCCCGCTCCCACTGCTCCAGCGTATCTTCCAACCTGGCAAATCGTGTGTTGATTCGGTTGGGTGGTCAGCATTGCTTTCCAAACACAGGCTGGAGATGCAAACTCCAATGTGCAACTCACCTCTGCTGTATCAGGTCCCAGTCGACTCTCTAAACGCGGCATCAATTCATTCATCTTGCAATTGCACTCCTCCGCAAATCGAGCCATGATCACAGCATGCGCAGCTTGTGGTTCTGTGGATCATCATTGTGTGGCACCTTGGTAAGTACAAGAATACAGTCTGGGAGTAACAGCTCTCATGGTAGTGGGCAGCAATGAGACTTACCTGGGAGCCCCGTGACGGCTACATAACTATCGCCAATCTGAAGAAAGACGCGACCGGCTAGCTCAGCAACATGCTACAAGCGGCTTCAAACAGCTGGATTCCGAGCAAAGCTTACCGTTTCAACCTTAAAGACTTTCCTCCTCTTGGCCACCCGATCAAATGCCTGATAGACTGCAAGGTCCAAGGAAGACGAAGAGATGAGTCGATTGATCAGAAAGGGAACCAGACCAGACTTTGGATTCGGCCTCAGTTCAAACTTACCGGTCTGAAGCAAGATGAACACTTGTGCTGGATCACGAGTTGAACTCCAAGCTGTGAAGCCTGAGATATCAGCAAAAAGCACTGTACAGTGCGGGAACAGATCTGCAATTGGATCCATGTCCACATCGTCATCCTGGTCACCGTCAAAGGTATCCCTTCAAGCGGCGGTTGGTGGCAAGAAACCACTACTAGTTCTCTTCCCGTTGTTGCCTGAAGATGGCTGTTGTTCCATGAGCCGATCTCGGACTTGTTCTGGGAAAAGACTTGTTACAATGGCAGTGCTCTGCTCAGCTTTCATCAACACAAGGGCCTGGCGTCTCTCAACCAGACGATCGTAGAGAATGAACATCACAACTGTAAAGACAAAGATGGCTGCAACAGCAATTGTAAGGTAAATTGGCATGGAGGTTTGGTAGCTCTCTTCAAACTCTGAGGATGGGTAAATGTCCATGGTGATCAAGCAGTGGTCACTGTTTAGAGGAATGCCATACTTGGTTCCATCTGCAATGCTGTCAACCGAGGCAAAGCTGGCAGATCTTCTAAAAGAATCATAGGCAGGATCGTGGAGGTCCCCGGCACCGAGTGGCACGGCTTCCGGCCCATTGATCTCGTACGTGAAGTTTCCAGTGCAGGAGTTACCCAGAACAACGAGCACACCATCCATGCTTGACGGGAGCACGTCTTGAAAGTACGACAGCCAGTGCACCCAAGCAATCATGACAGCCACGGGCTTTCGGTTCTCGGTGAAGGAATCAAAGATGGGGAAAAAGACTTGGCTCATGGGATCTCCCTCATACTCCTTTAGATGTCCTGCTGCCACACTCATGAGAAGTGCAAACATTGCCGTGGCGTGATCATGCGAAGTGATGCCCCCCGGGCTCGTAGAGTGGAACATGCCAATGTTTACAGATTCCATGGCTAGGGTGTCCATTGCCGCCGTGTCGTTGAATGAGTTCTGAGCCTCATCCAGGTTGACTTGGATTCCACCAAAGATCACCGGTG